GAATTCAGAGTTCGACTTTCTTACATTCTGCAAAAATGACAAAAACGTTGTCCCTCTGTCTTTCTCCAGAGAAGTACCTGCTGATGCTGCAGTCCATAAAGAGGGCTGTTAACATAGAACCTTCTAACCCATGGCTACATCAGTGTCTTGTCCGCTTTTTCAAAGGAGGTAAGTGTGACCTTCTGTGAGCTACGTGAACTGCTGTGACCGTCTCGAGGTATCACCGTTTAAAGCTTCACTGGGCTCTGTCTTATATACTTACAGTGAGTGAGAGCACGGATGTGGCAGAGGCAGTGAGAACGGTGCTGAAGCACGAGATCTCCAGGCTGTTTGGAGAGAGCAGCCCTCAGAGCTTCAACAAGAGCTACCTGAGCCAACACTCCAACTCCATCCCACACAGACTGGCTGGTACGCAAACCTGGTGGTGAATGTTATGACACACTGTGGGGTCAAACACTGTGGGCTCTGTGGGGTCAGACACTGTGGGGTCAAACACTGTGAGCTCTGTGGGGTCAGACACTGTGGGGTCAGACATATTAGAAAACGTGTCTGAAAGAGAATCTTTAGAAGCTTTGGGTCAGACCACAGGTCTGTTATTATGAACAAAGAGTCTTTTTTTAAAAAAACATTTTTACACACAGCATAAGAGGAAAATAAGTACTGTGCTAAAATCTTTTGTTCACTCTTTGAAGCCAGGCTGTAATCTTTATAAAGATGGAGCATTAGTCCTCCGGGTTTTCTGAAGCTGCTGTTTTACTCATTTTCACTTCAGTCTTGAGCATTTTGTCGTATATTTTAGTGAAAGTTGCTAATTTTTTGAGTTTATTGGAAAAGGATATAGGATCATAAATACACACGGTGCGTAATTACATATGTAATTGCAATTTCCAAACACATGCAGCACACCAAAGACGAAGGGTTTCAAAGTGTTCTCGTGCTAATTTAAATTCAGGCCTGCACCTTTAGACTCAAGATATGAAGGATCATGTATTGCAAATGTATTCCTGATGTTATTTTACTCACTTATTGTTAGCAGATTAAATATGTGTCTCTCTGGGCAGCAGCAGGTTGCTAAACAAGAATAGCTGGTTATAAGCTGATATTGCTCTTAGCTTA